GTTGTTTATCAGTAACAAAAATGTTTGATCATTTTGTTTGATTACCAATTGTATTCTATGGAAAGATAATGAGCCACATCAGCTAGGATTTTGAGTCCTGAAAAAAGTAAACTTTCATAAAGATTATGCACATTTAAGGGAAATCTTTGCAACAAGTAAACCCAACCTCCGTCGCAAAGTGCTGAAACTGTCACAAGTAGCTGCCATCTAGTTTTGCCTCCTAAAAGGTTCCCATGTGTTACTAGGGTGCCATGAAGGAATAATATCAGAACAAACATATAGTGAAGCCAAAAAATTCACAGAAGAACATGCAAGCAATTTCAAAGGGAAAGTCATAGTGAGGTGAACGTTCCCTTCTATTATCAAACTTCATTACACAAAACTAACTGATTCAATCAAAATGAATTGTTGTTTGTTTTGACTAGTGTTATGGATGACCTGACAATTCTATTTCACATCAGCTAATCTAGTAGCTAGTCAAACTTCATTACACTTATTTAGATTACACTACTAGAATTTAAAATACTTCTAAATCAAAAAATTAGATTACACTACTACACTTATGGCAAGCGGGTCACCATCATGATCTAAAGATCTTTCAAGGTTCACCGTTGACCGGCCACTAGCTAAACACAGAGCAAAACACAAGCCAGAAAAATTAGAGAAACACATGAACCAGTAGCGCAGCATATCAATTCAAAGTTAAAAAATTGCCAAAGAAATTATGCCAACTTACCTACTACAAGCCAAATGAAAGGAAAGGCTAAGTTTTAACATCTTGAAATTAAACCATGTACTAGAGTGACATGATCATTGATCAAAATTACAAGATTGAATGCCATGGCAATTCACGACCAACTAGTGAGTTTTTTTTTGTAAGAAGCTAAAGAGTCACTGAATTTAATATAATAAAAAAATTATTAAACAAGTCCATAATGCACACAAGCTCCTATGGTCATAACTACTAAGATTAATGATCATCTTTATTGTTAAGACATATACTTTCTTACTCAATAAAGCATTAAATCTAAACTATTTGAAGTTTGTTATGGAAAAACTTACAGCAATTGTTACTCAACTGTATAATACATTGTTCTCCCAATGTACCCATGTTCATTGAATATGACAAGAATAAGAATATGAGATATGTTTCCAAAACCTGTATAATATTTAGATGCATCTACATACCCATAATCAACTTTTGGATACATATCTTCAATACCAAATATTTAGATTTAGGAAGATTTGACAAACATTCATACCCAATACTCGTATCCTAGTACATGTAATATACATTAGATCTGCATTTTATTCATATTTGAGAGCCTAATCTTGTTTTGCAGAGATAGAGCAATTTTTAGGCTTCATCAAATCTAATCACCATATGAAAACCTTCTAAACCACTCACTCCTGCCCAATATCGTAACTTAATAGGACTCAAGTATCAAATCAGTAGGAGTCCAACAAGAACAATATGCACGTTGTCTTTTTCCAAGTCCTAGCCCACATCAACTATGCTGCATCAGCTTCCTGATGGATTGAAGACGAAGGGACTGCATATAAACTGTTTCAAAAGGTATCATGAAGCCACTATTTGAATTAACAAACTCATGGACCCAAAACACCACAATAAAAATTATCAAATCATACTTTTCCCCGGATATCAATTAACTTCATCAGCTAAAGATCCATGCATGCAATTTATTATTGCACTTTGAGGTGAGCATGAAATGGAGACCAACTCTTAAACAAAATAATGAAGATCAATGTCTAGTAAGAACTAGAAGTCCAAAGACCAATTCTGAATACAGATAGACATTTTGACAACAATTATAAAACCCACCACTACATCAAGCAGCTGCATTGCAATTCACACAAAATTTATGGGATTAAACAAGGCCTAGGTTTCAAAGTGGAGTAGTAGACAATTAAAAAAAACACAGAGAGTGTAGAAACAATACATCCTCTACTCTTAGCAGATTCAGGGTAAAAATTGAAAATAACTCTAGTTATATAATGATAGACATTCATTTTGGCATACAAGTAATCCATGAATGTTAGCCATAATATGGTAATAAGGTGTTGACATAGACGTGATGTTCCATGATGAATCAATCGATTTAATGTGGGCATCACTCTTTCTGCATCCTTCCAACTCCTGGCAGGGTTAGTGAGTTGTGTAATAGGCAAACCATTTTCGTGTGGTTGGGTCAACATGTTAATATCTGTTCTATAAATAAAACAAATAATCCTCAAATATGATAAAAGTTTATTTTTTCCTTTTCGTGGAGTTGGGGGAAGAAAAAGGAAATCATTTTAGAAGGCAACAAATAAATGCGATGCGCACTCTTAACTTGATAAAAAAATGTGTACCGAAATGCTATGATAAGTCGATTTGTAGTGAAGTACCTTCCACTGAACCAAATGGGATATTGCCATCCTCAAGACCTGAGAAAGAGTACCAGGCAGGAAATCATTTAGCAGAACAAACACTGATGCCTTTGCAGGAGAGGCACAAAGCATATATACTTATAATAAATAAAAAATAAAAAAACCCAAACCAAAGGCACCGCTTTTTATAAAAACGTCTGGAACAGTAAGAGCAAGAAATAGAAATGTCAACAAAAACAGCTAATTTTCACATGTGATCACAAAATGAAATGGAGTAACCAAAAGGCAGTGGGTAGTTATGTATTTGTAGTTAACAACTTCTGTTAGAGCATCTAAACCCTTCACCAATTTTTCATCTAAATTTATTCAAATTGAGTAAAAAACTAGATTTGATATATAAACTACTCCAATCCTTTCATCAAAATCTTTTAAAAATTCGTCTCTTCTCCAATGCTTTATATTTTCAAATTCAATTGATGAGTTCTCAATTTCATTAAAAAAATATAAAATCTCTTCCTTGATTTGATGAAAGGATTGGAGATGGTTTTTTAACACTTTTAGGTGTTATAAACATGCACAGATAAAAGTTAGCTCAAATGCAGAGTACATGTCATTGCTCTATTTAAATGGCACACTCACTGTTAGTGTAGATGATATTTCAAATTAAATTTTGATCCTTAACTGTAACTACAACTAGAGAAGCTTGGCCTAATCAAATTGTTTATCCAAGCAACCAAAGTAAGAAAAAAGAAAAAAAGAGTTGTTGAACAACTCCATCCCAACCATTTTATGCATGCATTTTCTATTTGAAAAATCGTAAGTTTAATCAGTTTATGATGCATTCGGCCCTCCATTTAAACACTAGAACCAACCCACAGTTATCAGTCTATCAAGGTTTAATATGATGATCCATATCCACATCAAAACAGTGGGTTGACACCTTGGCTCTACTAAAACACATCACATTCAATTTAACAATTTTCTAGAAAAGGCAACTGTTAAACTTGGAATTAAATATATTATGATGAATAGGATTAAGAGGTGTTGTGGTTCATGGAAGTGGTAGGCACACAAAAATTTTGAGGGTTTTTGACAGGCTCTGTACTGCATTCACTAAAATTATTGATTGCTTTTGTAGTTACATGTGATGACCGTAATATAAAGACTTTGAACATGTCAAGGAGAAAACATGATCAACAAACAATGAAACAACTAATTACACAATAAGGATAAGAAACTAACGTAATATTTTGACATGCATATCTCTTGACAATTTGGGATTTTGATTTTTGTTCACTCCATTTTGAGTCAATTTGTGCTATGCTTTCGAAATGTAGAAACAGGTAGCACAAAAAATAAAAACACATAATTCCTTCCAAGCTATAGAGTTCCTACCATCCTCTGCGCTGTACTTGCCGACCTTGTCACCCGAAATCTCCTTAGCAGACAGTTTACAAAGTCTAAAAGGGGTAATTCCTTCTTGACTGTGTGCTTTAACAGATGTAACCAACGTGTTTGTGATGTTCAACAGAGCTTCAGCATCTGCAGCTTGTTCTTCTAGGTTTCTATACTAAAACCAAATTAAAGAAAGCAATATTGTCAAGAGGAAAGTTAATTTACCAGAATCGTTCATTTGATAATCGAATTGAACTTGTCCGAATAACCCTTGATAAATTCATCTCTCTCATCTACAACAAACACAATCAGAAACGAAACAAAAAAATAATAATAATAATAACCAAATAAAATTAAGAATTTGTTTAAGAGAAAGTTAATTACCAGAATTAGGGTCCTGAAACAGCGAGATATCGAGATCGAGAACTCTGCGTTTGGTGACAAGTTCAGGTTCAGAATCGTTCAAACTTGCTTCAACATCATTCTCTGCTATGTTCCTTCTTTGCAGCTACAATTTTTTGCCATTACATTCTACATTCGTAAACATGGCCATTCTTTTGATGTTAATCACTGAATTTCTATTGATCAACTAATGCAGAGGAAAACTAAAAATTACCCAATCTCATAAATTACCTAAATTCGTACATAGCTATAATTATAAGCACTTTGATTCATGTTGTGAGTAGTATCATGGCTGTGATCTTATGGGAATAAATTGACATTTTCCATGCAATTATCCAATAGGTGACACCTTGCCAATGGAAGAAAGGATGGTCCAGATTTGATCTCTCTCTAAAAGGTTTCCAAAGAATCTCATGTTTCGGAAGCTCTTGATAAGCTTAGAGAGCAGACTAGGGAGGCTGTCAGGGGACTCGAGCCTGTCACGGGCTCGAAACCCCTTGCAGACGATTTCGGAAAGGATCCAATGATGGAGGATTGGGTCAAGTAGTTTGAGGAGCTTGGTGGGTCTCAGGTATTTGCTTCAATTTCATGAAATTAGGGTTTAGGGTTTCGTTTATTTCTTTGGTTTTTGCAGTTATTTGTTTGATTAGGATTTATTTATGTGTTGTGGTAACAGTAGAATTGTGAATTCACTATGTGCTTTTGGGATTTGATTGAGTTGATAATTAAGCTTTTGCTCAACAATCATTTTCCAATTGGATTAGCACAGTGTTACCAGAAAACACTAACCCTGGCGAATCATATTTTGGAATGGGTGCATTGAAGTATTTTAAATTCTAGTTGTATATGCACATAAGTAATTGAGGCTTAGTTATGAACATTTGGGTTTTTTTAGCTGTTCCAGAGTTTTATAAAAGCGGTGCCTTTGGTTTGGGTTTTTTTTATTTTTTATTTATTATAAGTATATTGCTTTGTGCCTCTCCTGCAAAGGCATCAGTGTTTGTTCTGCTAAATGATTTCCTGCCTGGTACTCTTTCTCAGGTCTTGAGGATGGCAATATCCCATTTGGTTCAGTGGAAGGTACTTCACTACAAATCGACTTATCATAGCATTTCGGTGCAATTTTTTTATCAAGTTAAGAGTGCACATCTCATTTATTTGTTGCCTTCTAAAATGATTTCCTTTTTCTTCCCCCAACTCCACCAAAAGGAAAAAATGAACTTTTACATATTTGAGGATTAATTGTTTTATTTATAGAATCAGATATTAACATGTTGACCCCAACCACACGAAATGTGATAGGGTCCCCGTCGGGGATCGGGGCCGGAGACGGAGAGTGTGATCCCCGGCCCCGCCCCGCCCCGTTGCCATTCCTATAACTGATAGTAGGATTGCTACATGTTTATGTATGCACTAATAAGGAATGACAAGGACAAAACGGGCGGGCAAGTCCAATTCTTGGTAGTTCCTCCAAACTAACTAACTAAAGGTGTACAAAATAAATGCAATTTTTTTTTTTTAGGATCTGTCTGTTTATTTTAATTTAAAAATTTCTAACGATACAAATCAAATCAATGAAAATATTACATTTAAATTTTAATTCTTTGCACATTAAAAAATAAATAACCCATAATACACATTACAAAATAAAAGCTATAACAGAGCACTTTCACTATTTATTTCTAATGTGAAATTTAAAAATAAAAAATAAAAAAACCTCTTTTGAATTCCTCTTTAACATCAAATCTACAAAATTAAAAATTGAATCATAACATTTAGCCCGTTTTGATTTCTCAACAAAGAAAACCAAAAAGATCACTTCTGCTAAATTTTTACTTAATATCGTCCAAACTACACTGCTTCCACCAATCTATAACAATGAATGCGGGAAATCCAAAAAACCAAGCATTATAATCTAAACCGCCATCCCTTAATCCACCCCAATAAGCCAAGTCCAACAATTGGGCTTTTTATTGCCAAAAAGGTCCGGCTTCATTAAGAGCATAGAAAGATCTATTTGCAAGTAAACTATGTAACCTCAAGCACCCAATTGCCAAACCAACTCAAAAAAAGTACGAAAATACCCTATCACATACTTCCAACTCCTGGCAGGGTAAATGTCTAAAAACAAAAGAAAAAAAAGGAAGATACTTTTCCAACTCCTGGCAGGGTTAGTGAGTTGTGTAATAGGCAACCATTTCGTGTGGTTGGGGTCAACATGTTAATATCTGATTCTATAAATAAAACAATTAATCCTCAAATATGTAAAAGTTCATTTTTTTCCTTTTGGTGGAGTTAGGGGAATAAAAAGGAAATCATTTTAGAAGGCAACAAATAAATGAGATGCGCACTCTTAACTTGATAAAAAAATTGTACCGAAATGCTATGATAAGTCGATTTGTAGTGAAGTACCTTCCACTGAACCAAATGGGATATTGCCATCCTCAAGACCTGAGAAAGAGTACCAGGCAGGAAATCATTTAGCAGAACAAACACTGATGCCTTTGCAGGAGAGGCACAAAGCAATATACTTATAATAAATAAAAAATAAAAAAACCCAAACCAAAGGCACCGCTTTTATAAAACTCTGGAACAGTAAGAGCAAGAAATAGAAATGTCAACATAAACAGCTAATTTTCACATGTGATCACAAAATGAAATGGAGTAACCCAAAAGGCAGTGGGTAGTTATGTATTTGGTAGTTAACAACTTCTGTTAGAGCATCTAAAACCCTTCACCAATTTTTCATCTAAATTTATTCAAAATTTGAGTAAAAAACTAGATTTGATATAAACTACTCCAATCCTTTCATCAAAATCTTTTAAAAATTCGTCTCTTCTCCAATGCTTTGTATTTTCAAATTCAAATTTGATGAGTTCTCAATTTCATTAAAAATAAAATAAAATCTCTCCCTTGATTTGATGAAAGGATTGGAGATGGTTTTTTAGCACTTTACGTGTTATTAAACATGCACAGATAAAAGTTAGCTCAAAATGCAGAGTACATGTCATTGCTATTTAAATGGCACACTCACTGTTAGTGTAGATGATATTTCAAATTAAATTTTGATCCTTAACTGTAACTATAACTAGAGAAGCTGGCCTTAATCAAATTGTTTATCCAAGCAACCAAAGTAAGAAAAAAGAAAAAAAGAGTTGTTGAACAACTCCAATCCCAAACCATTTTATGCATGCATTTTCTATTTGAAAATCGTAAGTTTAATCAGTTTATGATGCATTCGGCCCTCCATTTTAAACACTAGAACCAACCCACAGTTATCAGTCTATCAAGGTTTATATGATTGATCCATATCACACATCAAAACAGTGGGTTGACACCTTGGCTCTACTAAACACATCACATTCAATTTAACAATTTTCTAGAAAAGGCAACTGTTAAACTTGGAATTAAATATATTATGATGAATAGGATTAAGAGGTGTTGTGGTTCATGGAAGTGGTAGGCACACAAAAAATTTTGAGGGTTTGACAGCTCTGTACTGCATTCACTAAAATTATTGATTGCTTTTGTAGTTACATGTGATGACCGTAATATTAAAGACTTTGAAACATGTCAAGGAGAAAACATGATCAACAAACAATGAAACAACTACATTACACAATAAGGATAAGAAACTAACGTAATATTTTGACATGCATATCTCTTGACAATTTGTGGATTTTGATTTTTGTTCACTCCATTTTGAGTCAATTTGTGCTATGCTTTCGAAATGTAGAACAGGTAGCACAAAAAATAAAAACACATAATTCCTTCCAAGCTATAGAGTTCCTACCATCCTCTGCGCTGGTACTTGCCCGACCTTGTCACCCGAAATCTCTGAGCAGACAGTTTACAAAGTCTAAAAGGGGTAATTCCTTCTTGACTGTGTGCTTTAACAGATGTAACCAACGTGTTTGTGATGTTCAACAGAGCTTCAGCATCTGCAGCTTGTTCTCTAGGTTTCTATACTAAAAACCAAATTAAAGAAAGCAATATTGTCAAGAGGAAAGTTAATTACCAGAATCGTTCATTGATAATCGAATTGAACTTGTCCGAATCAACCCTTGATAAATCATCTCTCTCATCTACAACAAACAACAATCAGAAACGAAACAAAAAATAATAATAATAATAACCAAATAAAATTAAGAATTTGTTAAGAGGAAAGTTAATTACCAGAAATTAGGGTCTGAACAGCGAGATATCGAGATCGAAGAACTCTGCGTTTGGTGACAAGTTCAGGTTCAGAATCGTTCAAACTTGCTTCAACATCATTCTCTGCTATGTTCCTTCTTTTGCAGCATACCAATTTTTTGCCATACATTCTACATCGTAAACATGGCCATTCTCTTGATGTTAATCACTGAATTTCTATTGATCAACTAATGCAGAGGAAAACTAAAATTACCCAATCTCATAAATTACCTAAATTCGTACATAGCTATAAATTATAAGCACTTGATTCATGTTGTGAGTAGTGATCATGGCTGTGATCTTATGGGTACATAAATGACATTTTCCATGCAATTAATCCAATAGGTGACACCTTAGCCAATGGAAGAAAGGATGGTCCAGATTTGAGAACTTCAGTTGAAAGCCATAGACTCCCTGGCACAGTTCTTTTACCATTTTGAATATTGATTGTCCATATGACCAAGGGACACTACCCATCTTGACTATGTCCTATCATGATGTTGCCACATGCCATCCAAAGGGAAATTCCAGCACATTAGTACCTCTCTTGCTCTCTTTCCCCTCGCGACTTTTCCCTCAGTCTCTAGAAGTGCTTATCAGGGGGGAAGGGGACAAACATGCCAACAGAACCCAGAAAAAGAATATATACATATAAATAATAAGGCTTTTTTATGTTGAAAATGATACACAATAACATCATTTGGAGTGCTATTTCAAATGTATTTCTCAATAGACACAACCATGCTATCATAAATTCTTTGGTCACCCATTCAATTCACAAAAAAAATAGCAAAAAATGCCCCTTCTACTATGGTAGTCCTCCTGATAAGTAACAAAGATGGGCACTTCTAAATTACCACTACTTAAACTGTCTAATTGCTGTCAATTACTATATTCAAACTGAAAATTTATGTAAAATACAAGATGCCCATAAAGAACCAATAACATGGCAAGCACATGGAAACTAAGATGAACATAACCTTTAAATACAAAATATAGTCCGAAGAAATCACATATGGGACACTGCGTGTCTCATTAGTTTCAAAAAATTAGGGAAAATATTAATTCTAAAAATTAGGGAAAACAAAGATAGAAAAATAGAGAAATTGAGTGAGAGAGAGGACCATACCTGAAAATAGAAAAATAGAGGAATCGAATAAACAAAGTGCACCTTCTTGCTCATGCAATATGGAAAGCAATGTGTTTCTTAAGCAAACCAAGTACAAAAGCAAACAAAAAGATCATTAAACATGATAACAACTTCATCAACCATAAAAGATATGGGAACAAATATCATCACTTTCTCCTTCAATAAAGTTAATTAATCCAATGAAAAGTTACTAATAACTACGCTCTAATAATTTTCTCTCATGAAATAAGCAAAGAATAAAACATCGTAAATCTTCCAAAAAGAAATTAATCAAAATTTATTTATAATGAAAACAAAATCATGAAACCCCTGAATCAAAAGGGCAAGAGGAAAAAAAAAACTAGTTCCACAGATATTGGGACAAAAATTTCACAGGAATTAATTGCAATTTTTTTATAATGAAATGATGAAACCCCTAAATCAAAAACATAAAATCACAAATCACCACAAATTGACAAATATATATATATATGTGTGTGTGTATACACAAACAATAACAATGAATTCAATCAAGTTTAGTGAATGTAATAAAAGATAAAGAAGAGATGTAGAACAAAAATGAAGGTGAAAAGAAAAAATTAATGGAGTAAATTACACAAACACATATATAAACCATGAAACAAAGTAGAGATCTTTTACTTGAGGGAGTCGAATTGGGAGATTAAGAGCGAATTTGGAGATCACAGAGGGTCGTCGATCTAGAGCATCAAATTCATGCATTGAATATCAAAAATAAAAATAAATAAATAAAGTGAGAGAGAGAGAGAGAGAAGAGAATAATCCATGATCCCTTTCCCTATCCAAAGGTTGAGGGGAACCCTGAATTCACAAAGACACTTCAAGTATCAAAAGAGAACAAAATATACATAAAGGAATAAGTAAATATGATTAAAACTCTGAAATCCCAACCCAAAGAGTACCATTAATTAAAACCAAATTCGCATGCCAAAAATATATATATATTAAACAAAGTTCAAACATTCAGATACTTGTAAACATCAACAAATAGAAATTATGTACAGATTTGCATATGGAGAGAGAGAGAGAGAGAGAGGGAGGGAGATTTGAGTGTGAAAATGAGAGACGGGGGAAAAAGAAATTCTAGGCGCCAAAGGGTTTGAGGAATTTTGGAAAATTTGGGGATTTCGGGTCAACTATTTCTGAGAAATTAAAAAAAAAAAAAACACAGAGAGGGAGAGGGCGGACCGAGAAACAAAGAGCGAGGGCACCGATTTGATTTTATTTATTTTTTTATTTTTTTGCTTTCATGGTACAAAACGACGCCGTTTTAAAATTGGCGACCAAATTTATTTGTCGCAAAAAAATTTCAATTCCCGCCCTACTAAAAATCAAATTTTCCTTCCAAATTTTTGGCGACCAGAAGACAATATTAGTCGCAGAAAAGATTCCTTCGCCGACAAATTTTTTTAGTCGCCAAATCTCAATCAACGGCGACTAAAATATTAGTCGCTAAAAGTACTAATTTGGCGACTAATTTTTTTTGGTTGCTGAAAATAAGTTTTTGGCAACCAAATTTTTGGTCGCCAAAAAATATGTGACCTTCCGCAACCAAATTTGTAGTTGGTCGGCAAAAGCATATCACTTTCTGCGACCAACTCATTTTTTGGTCACCAAAATATAACCTTCTGCGACCAATAATATTTGGTCGCCAAAAATAATGATCATTCGCGACTAATTAATATTTGGTCGCCAAATGTCATTTTTTTGCGACCAAAATTTTTTTGGTCGGCAAAAGTGGTCGGCAATTGTGTAAATTCTTGTAGTGCCACTCCACCTGGCTGCGTCTCATCCACCACTGTTTGTGTATCATCTGGTTGTTGCGTCTCATCAGAGAACGTCAGCGGGGTGCCAATCTCCTGTGGACATGCATCAGAGGCTGATAATACGTTGCCATTTGTTGCTCTCTTCCGCCGCCCCATCTTGATTCCAAGAACCATGGTACCTACATTACGTAACAAACATACATGAATAATTGTTCCTGATAGACCTTCTGCATTAGAAAAAGTGTACTTGCACATAAATAAAAGACATAAAGGTTCCAACAAGCAAAGAGGAGCAATCTCAAAAAAATGCTTCCTCAAAACATAATATTTGAAAAGTGAAGCACAGGTTACGAATTCCTAGATTTGTCCCTTTCACCTTATGAGTTTTTTTTCTTCCATCATTTGTGACCCAAAAGTTTGCCAAACACTTAGAATCATGTGATCATGCAAGTAGAGGTATAATTACTGATAAAGTATGACAGCAGAGGTATTTGAAAAATTGTCATCAATTAAGACATCTGCACCACCAGTGGAAATAAGTTTTGGCTTACCTTTTCCAGAAAGAACAATTGAATATCTCCATGCTGGAAACTAGTGATATGACATATAGACACAAATCTCAGATCTACAAGATTTGCCTTACAGAATGAAGCAGCTCGTTTTTTGTTAATTTGCTGACATGGAGATCAGGTTTTGATTTTTTTCAAATTTCAATAGAGTTGGACAGATTTACCTATAAGGTGCTGCACCCACTCTGTCTTGTTGTCATCATTTTTGTTGTTTCTTTTCTAATATTTATGATCCACCATATGTGATGATGTCTCTATTTCTTTCTTCTCAGTGAGTTTTTATTTTATTTTATTTTATTTTTTAAACTTTTACTTTACCTTTGTTTTCATAACATTTTTTAACTATATTATTATGGATTAATATTTCCTAGTCATAGCTGTGTTAAGAGAAGTGTGATGGAGATAACCAAAGTGGAAAAGATTGAAAATTAGGACAGAAGATTGCATGTAGTGCCATAATAGGAAATCAAATGGAAATCATATGTTTGCTGACATATGCCCAAGGCATTACCAAACAGCACTTGATACATGTTATTGGCACTAAGATGTAAGGCTCTTCAATATGAGACTATGCACTTTAAATGACAGATCTTTGGTAAATTATGATGGTTAAAATCTGCAGGCATCATCTGATATTTCTAAAGATATTATATTTCATCTAGCTACAGATACCATGCATATGGCAGAGCAAAAAAAAAAAAATAAAGGTCAAAATCTGTCAAATGAAAAACATACCAATGTAGCACCAAGACAGATCAGAACAGCAAAACAGAACAGGTCCAGAATTGTAGCACAGGTCCAAAACAGAACAGCACCAAGACAGAACAGGTCCAGAATTGTAGCACCAAGACAGAGCTAAAAGAACAGATCAGAACAGCAAAACAGATCAAAACAGGCCCAGAATTGTAGCAAAACAGATCAGAACAACACCAAAATGCATCAGTAACTATTCATAGCAAGAAAACAAGCTCTAGTCCCATTACAGAGCAACCCATCAGGAACTATTCATGCTAAGGTAGCAAGTCATTGCAACATGGTAATGTTTCACTACTATTTAAAGTGAGTCAAGTTCCATAAAATTCCAAAACTTGATAAACTTAATTCCAGTATAAGAATAAAATTTTCCCCTAAATCAACTACCAAAAATTACAATCCAAAATTTCAATAGTGGTGTTAGTACTAAGGAAACACAGAAAACAGAATGAAATTATCTCCAAGGACTACATCCCAACATAGAGGATTTTAAGTTCTTTAATGTAAAAATGCTTGCAGGTTTTTTTCTGTGAATCAGTACAAATCCATTCCCTTGTTGTTTTCCAAACATAATGGGGAAATCTCATTGTGTGTGTCTATTTTATATGCTATTTTTTTCAGAAAGTAAGAAGACTTAATTTATTCAATGGGTGAAAATTTAACCTCTAAAGAAAGATATTACGAGTGCAAGATCCCACATACCTGCAAGAGCTCAGTGTCCTTGGAGGCAACTGCAGCTCATGACATGTGAAATGATGACAGACAGAACCATGGGAATCAGAAAATCAAACGCAACCAACTGAATTCAATGTAAAATGAGTTAGATTATTTCACAATAAGATTGGTAATGGCAAAGATAAATTTGACAACTGTTAATTTAATTGCTATGTGAAACATACTTCTGTAACATACACTTCAGATCCCTGAATCCCCTCAACTGGCACAAATCAAAATAAATTGTCCTGGATATGCCCTTCAAAATAAACTGCTAAGGTTGTAAAATGCTGCAGGGAACAAATCAATATATCAAGTATAAATTCATAGTGAAACGAGACTTCCAGTCAGCCACTACTGGAGTTTTCTAGTTGCAAAACTAAATATTCTCATAATTATGTGTACAAACAGCTACAGCAGTTGCAAGGCGAATCTCGTCATACAGAAACATAAGGCATTGTTCGACAACAATCTCAAAATTACAACTGACTCACCAATAGAGAGACAACCACCAAGCACCTTCAGGAAATTGTATATGCAAATAAGCTTCCTGCAGAGTACGTACAGCCAATGAGAGAGAGAGAGAGAGAGAGAGAGATGCCCAATAAATCAGATCATGCTATTATTATCTTCTTTTTTCTTTTTTGTTGAGATTTTCAGATCGTGATATGTTATGTATTGCATGCATTACACTAACGGTCATGCAATTATTATTACTATGCCAACCGTAAAGGAAAGAAAGAAATAATGTTTCTTTGTATTGTAAGATATAAAATTAGAAAAATAAAAAAATTATGAGCAGTTTCTCAATCAGAGAAATCAAAATTCATTATGTTTTATTGGCAAACATGAAAAGGTTACAGCTTATATAAATTTGCTCAATTTAGTACTAAATATATTCTGTTTAAACATCACACAACAATTTCACAAAAGAACTGACAGTATACCTTGCCCAAGAATCAAAATTGCATTTGAAGCCAAAGGAATAATATCTTGGATTGTTTCACTGGAAAATATTGCTTGAAGAACTAGCAAAACAAACAAGTTTTTCAAGTAGTAGGACCCTATTCATGATGCACAACCGCTCCATCTGAAAGTAAACTTTAAAGTCCAAACCAAGTAAAAGCAGTTGCTGGTTTTTTTCCAAATGTAAGACAAATTAGATAAAGAGGTTAAACCAATGAAATTCGCAACTGCAAAAAACCTGAAATTTGTATAAGCTTTTCCTCGATGTCTTTTCCATCGCTTTAACAAAAAGAAGCATCTATGTCAGGTACTGCCAGCATGTGCACTGTATGGCGACCATCTGATATCCAAACAGTTTGTGTTCCTGCAACATGACGATAAGTTCCTTTTAGCTGTAGGCAGAGATTCAGACTAAAGATCTCCTGGTTTCTCCACTAAGCATGGTAAAAATCTAACAAAATAAACTGGCTCGAAAAGGCTTGTGCCACATAAGGCCAAGATACTACTAAATAGGTCCGATCCCCCCAAAAGGCTTGTGTCATAAGACAAAGATATGTCTTAACAGGTCCAATCCCCCCAATCACTCCCATACTTTGAAACCACAACCATTCTCCACCATCTATTCCTCTTGCGAGCAAATCTCCAGCGCCACTTTCCCAATAATAAGCTAAATGAAATCAAACAAAGCGTTGTGGCCCAATCAGGTCAAGTTAGCTGCATAAATCATTTTTTTCCATTCTACTAAAGTGCTATATGCTCAATTAAATAAAATAAATTCATATCCCCAGAATGTGGATAATTTCAATAGTGGTGTTAGTTCAATGATTAGAGGTATATCCCTCTAATATGTCAATTTTTTCAGAGGTCAATAAACCTCTGAACTTTCCAATGATTTTAGAGGTCAATAAAATCAGTGCAAATTTGATAAAATCATTGGCAATTTAGAGGTCAGCATACCAATGATATCATAAAATCAATGATTTTTTCAGATACATTGACCTGTAAGATATCCCTATAATATATCAATCAATATCCCTCTAATATATCCCTCTAATATATCAACCAATATACCTCTAATTTTATAAAATCAATCATTGTTAACTGATATATTAGAGGTCAATATACCAATGATTTTATTCCCAAATTGTCAATATACCAATGCAAATTTGAACTTTCCAATGGTTCACAGGTTTTTGTTGGTGTTACTTGCAATTAAATGGAATGACACCTCAATTTAAACCATCATTTTTAAATTTTTTTGGTGCTAACAATGGCTTTAACAATGAAAAGATACTACTACCATAACCAAACTGAAAGTCACTTACACATGAAATATACTTTTCCGTATAATTTTTCAAAAGATTGTAATGATAAAATTGTAAACCATGATCATAATTATATGAGAAAATATTGACTCATTAAATTATATTTGAATACAATGTTAAACATATATTGATCATATGCAAATGAAAACCTTTTCATCAAAATGACATCACCAAACTTATAAAGAAGATAAACCCAGTGCCTACTGTTACAAATAAATGCATTGATTCAAATAGATGAACTCTTCTAATCTAATCAAACAAACAAACTGATTGAAATGATAAAATAATGTCATTATCCAACAAAAATCACAACCAGACCCATTTCAATTAAATACAGAGTCAAAATTAACGATATAAAAAGAAAAACACGAAAACCGATTGACTCTAAACAGATTCACTAACAACATAGTACCAACAAATGTATATATATTATATAATTGTATATGAATTTACCCATTAGTTCCTTCACCTTAAAAGGAATTATAATTCTATAATTATTGTCCTTTTTTTTAATATATAAAACAATCAAATATTAAAAATAAAACAATTAAAATAAGGTAATCAAATTTTAGAGATACAATGAGACATTCCGGGTCTTCCAAGATAAACGTGAACCAACATGAAAGCTGAGTAATCTGTTTGGAACCCACCAAAAAATTAATTCATAGAACCATTTCAAAACCAATCGGTATACCATCTTCACCATTTGCGACAATACAAAATTCATATTGGTCATACAGTTCAACAATCCAAATCGGGAATCAGAAATCCATAAGTCGAAATTCCAACCAAACACATTCATGAAATCAGAAAAAGCCCTAACATGCAAATACGAAACGAACAGTGTAACGCCCCAAAATAAATACATAAATCCATCACTTTAGACATGCATTATACAAAAGAAATTAACCATTTCTATTCATCAGAGTAATTCTTACAATAGTATTACATGTTAGCAACAAAAGCAAATGCCCTATAGGCTTACAGCTTTCCAAGTCAACACTTGGTTACACAAAAGAAGAGTACTAACTCTATACAAAATAAGCCATTGGCTTGCTATACATGTAATACAAATAAAACAACCAAAAAGAGTCTTCAACTCTCATCATCATCCAAGCTATGTCCTTGGAGGTGGCATGCTACCTGTACCTAAAAATAATGTCCCATATAGGGTGAGCCAACGCCCAGTAGAGATATGCTAAACACAGTATGAGCAATAACTAAGACATTAGCAATTGATAAATGTTTAATTTCCATAAATCAATTCATGACCCATTTCCATTTTTATAATCACTGCGACTATGTTTCATTCCACTTTCTATTTCTTAACAGTTTCACAATTTATATCAATGGCTCAGAACCTGGCCAACCATTTGTATGAGACAGTAACTCATATTAAACATTTCCCATTTCTCAATAGATAAACATATTAGTTGTATCAACATCTCAACAGATAAGCATACAAGCTATATCAACACTTCCAAAGATGAGCATATGAGCTGTATCAACACTTCCATAGATAAGCATATGAGCTGTATCAACACTTCCATAGATAAGCATATGAGCTGTATCAACACTTCCATAGATAAGCATATGAGCTGTATCAACACTTCCATAGATAAGCATATGAGCTGTATCAACACTTCCATAGATAAGCATATGAGCTGTATCAACACGTATATACACATAGGTCATATACACAATCAATCAATACATAACGTTAATGTATTCTATCAACCGTCATACTCTATGACATATCCAATTGATTAGTTTTAGTTTTCCTAATCATCATGCATTGTCTACAACAATCAAAACTACCCTCCACCGGTAGTCCAAGCAATTATTTCTAAACAGATAATAAAAGCTCCAACAGATAAAATATCAATGTTTTCAAAAGTGAGCGATTAACAAATCCAACTCCACTATTCTACCATATAATGAGTCAATTTCATTATTTCCAACTCAATTCCAAATATTAGCACTTTTCCCAAATTAATTATACCAATTAATTTATACAAGAAATTAGGGCTTTCTCCCCATTTTCCAATATTGACCCAATGGTCCATAGATCAACAACCAACATCAATACCACTATTTTGAAACCCAAAATACTCATTTTAGAATCAAAATAATAAAACCCTCTTTGACATTTTGAAACCCTAAGTCCCAAAATTACCCAACTTCAACACTTTATCAAAATCACCAAAAATCTATGTTAAAGACCATAAGAGTGAGTAGGAATCCCTACCTCAAATTCGGAGCCCAAGAGAAGAAGATGAAGAAAACCAAAATGCTCCAAACTCCAAGATCCACGGATCAAAACGAAGCCCTCGACGATCAACACAACCTTTACAAAGGGCAAAGGGAAGGAAAACACTCTAACTAGATCAAATCCTAGAGAGAAGGGAGTTTCTAAAGAGAGAGGCTCTCAAAATATCCTTTTAGAAAGTAAGAGAGAGAGAGAAAGCGTAGAAAGTGATTCAAAAGTGCCCAGCTGCCCTCTGTTATACAACATCCCCGCTCGAGCAGAAAACACAACGCTCGAGCGTCAAGCACAAAAATCTAGACACGCTCGAGCGCAAAAAGGCCTGCTCGAGCGCCAAGACACAGGAATAAAGTACATCCGCTTGAGCGAGAAAACCAGTCCGCTCGAGCGTAGATTCCCCCTTCCCAGAACTTACACCAAAACAGAGCTACTCGCTCGAGCGCCAACAATCCCGCTCGAGCGCCACCCACTCGAGCGCAAGAAACCCGCTCGAGCGTAGAAAACACATCTGCAGAAGTTTTGCAGGAACACGAAATACTGGGAGTGTGCAATCTCCGCTCGAGCGCCAAACGGCCCGCTTGAGCGGAACGACAAAAAACCTGGCAACAAAGATTTAGACCAAGGCTCGACCTACCTGCTCGAAACAAGTCCAACACATCCCAAAACTCAAACATAAAGAATTAAAGGATGACAACGAGGTATAAAACCACCGACTCCATGGAACCAAAGTCCGGAATACAACAAAAACAAAAGGGAAAACCGAGATCGCTGTAACCCCCCCCTTAAAGAATTTTGTCCCCGAAATTAGGTACAAGTTTTCAAAAACAAGATTTCTCCATTCCCAACAACATTACAGCATAATATTAAACATTCCGACCCATTACCGGTCAAACCCATCTCTATTCAAGAGGCATCTCACATTACACATAACAACCTGCATATTCAACATGCATTCCTTTGAAATTTACCAATTCCAACTTAATTTCCATAATTCCATAACACATGCAACATTAATATCATGCTTGCATTTTTCACAATATACTTAACATACACAATGTTAACATAACTTCCATTAACCAAAACATTCACAATGTTTTACAACTTAAGACATTTATAATGCTCTTAAAGTTCAACAATACTATAGAATTTCAATATATGATTATACATCAACAAACAAGTCCGGATAATTCTCACGGACATCCGCCTCACGTTCCCAAGTGGCTTCCTCCACTCCGTGATGCTTCCACAAAACATTTACCAAGGGGATAGTCTTGCCTCGCAAGACTTGATCTCGCCTATCCAAGACCCGAACCGGTCTCTCCTCATACGAGGCATCCTCATCTACCTCCAAGTCGGTCCAATCCAACACATGGGACGGATCTGGCTCATACTTCCGAAGCATACTCACATGAAACACATCATGAACCCCGAACAACTGCGGTGGCAAAGCCAAACGATAAGCGACTTCCCCAATCCTCTCAAGGATCTGAAAGGGGCCGATAAACCGAGGGGATAACTTCCCACTCTTCCCAAACCTCATCAAACCTCGCCTAGGTGATATTTTCAAGAAAACATGGTCACCTATTTCAAACGCCAAAGGCCTCATCCTACGGTCAGCATAACTCTTTTGGCGACTCTGGGCTGTAACAAGCCTCCTACGGATAAGCTCAACTTTCTCCGTCGTCTCCCTAACCAACTCCAGACCCAACAAAGGTGCATCACCCACCTCGGCCCAACAAACTGGAGACCTACACGGTCGGCCATACAAGGCCTCAAACGGTGCCATACCGATGCTAGACTGAAAACTGTTGTTGTAGGCAAACTCTACCAATGGCAAGTGCCTCTCCCACGTCCCACTGAAATCCAGGACACAACCCCGAAGCATATCCTCGAGGATCTGAATAGTACGCTCGGACTGCCCGTCAGTCTGAGGATGATAAGCCGTACTAAAGGTCAACTTAGTGCCCAGGGCACTCTGCAAACTTTGCCACAACCTAGCAGTAAAACGAGGATCTCTATCTGAGAGGATCGTCACTGGGACCCCGTGCAATCTCACTATGTCCCGAATATACAAGCCGGCAAGATGATCTACCGAATCTCTCACGCGCATGGGAATAAAGTGCGCTGACTTAGTCAACCGGTCTACAACCGCCCAAATAGCATCACTACCTCGTTGAGTCCTCAGAAGACCTAC